GAATTGCCCCTATAAATCAAGCGTCGTGACAATAAGATCATCGATTGGAATTTTGCTTTCGCTACAATGGAACATGCGGTGGAACAGTACGATCGGCTAAATCGTCGCATTCTGTAGAGCTGAGATTGCAGGGCTAAACTGAAGCCACGAAACGCTAGCAGCAGTTATTCAGAACACGGAGTAGGACAATGGAACGATGCAACAATGGTCGTATACGGATATAAATGCTATTGCTTAACAGGTCCCATACAATGACTATGGTGAAAATACAAAGTATAAAAATTGTTAATAAAACGGTTTACACAGTGAACTCACTGAAGTATACGTAGTGTAGACTGCAAGTCCAAGGTAAATATATAAGGAATAACGACAAATAGAATGTGGGCAAAAATCGTATCTCATTCTGGTGTACAAAAACAGGAGGCGAAAAAGTGGAACGAAATCTGGGATTTGATCACCAGCGAAATCTCTTACAGACACTTGTGTTTATTCATGGGCAATGGGTCATGTAAAATGGTGCAGCGAAATAAGTGCATGGTCAACTTTGGGTCGGAACTCTGCCAGCGTGGGAGCACATATGACAGATTAGGGTAGGGCATTCCACGTTCTGCAAACGCGTACGGAAAAGTAATTCCGACGGCAATCTAAACGATTGTGCTAGCTAGAAATGGTGGCCTCTCAAATTGCTGTTGTGACCGAGCGATAGCAAATGGCGCAGGATCTCTCAAAATCTAGTAAGACAAAATGAGGTCCCCAGGCAATCGCCGATATTATCCGCTTATGACCTCGAGCACTTGTAGATGGCAAAGTACACAGACTCTTGACATTTTTGGTTGCTTGGTGTTGGGATATCTCCAAAGTGGTGAGACCTCTTCTCAACCAAGGTTGCCAGACATGTGGCCGCATGCATGAGCCGACAAGCTGTGGAAAAAGAGAAGGGTCGAATCGTCAGAATGCACTATTCAGGAGGTCCACATGCTGGATTTCCTCCTTGACGACTTTTCAGTCTGATTCGAATATCCAAAATCAACCAGCATAAAAACTTCCAGATCCTTCTCGCCAGAAAACGTCTGAAGCTCCTGGTTGCCGAGTTTGTAGAAATGCACGAACTTGTGTCGTAATTGAAGCACTCTACATTTGTCCACATTGAATCGAAGTAGATCCTGGGTTGACCACGCGTATACCCTATCCAGATCAGCTTGAAGTACTGTGATATCATCCGGTCTATTGACCGCCCTCCGCACTTTGATGCCATCGGCATACAGAAGGCAGTTCGAGCTTATGAGGCCCGTGATATCGTTAGTACACGTAAAAAATAATCGCGGTCTATGTATCGATCCCTGTGGGACTCCGCATTCAACTCGGATGGGCTCTGACAGCGATTCAAGCACTGGTACTTCAAGGCACAAGTGTAAAAGAAAGCTTCTGATCCATTCTAGGAGAGGATCACCAATATCAAAGGTCTGAAGAGCAAAATGTTATGGCCTAACCGATCGAACGCCTTTGAGAAGCCGACAAAGACCACATCAACTCCTGTGCCAGAGTCTACTACTTCAGTCCAGCTGGATCGTGCTAGTAGTAGATTTGTAGTGCACAATCGATTTCGTCGGAAGCCATGCTGTTCCGGTGCGAGGTAGTTAAATAGTTCCAAGCAGACAGTCAGCGCATCAGAAATAATAGCTTCCATGACCTTTGAAAGAAACGGCAGTAAAAGTATGGGTCGGTAGTTGGCTGGATTGGAATCACCACCTCCATTGTGAATAGGCGCACTCCTCCCGTGTTTTCACATATCAGGCGCGTACATCTAGTTAAAACAGTGTTGGTAGCATCGAGTCAAAGGCTCAGCTAAACTCTCTCTTACCGCGGCTACAGGTTTCGTGTGTACATTGTCAACTCCAGAAGAGCTGTGGTTGCGCATACTCAACAGCTTTTTTAATGCAGCTTCTGCTGTGAAGGATATGTGAGTTTTGGGGGTGAAACAATCATCGTCAAAGAATTATGTGGCCTGTGATTGTACTGTAATGTTGCAGCATATCGTTGGCATAGGGCATTAGCCGGCTTTTTCGTTGTCTGTATGGGTCTGTTCGCTGTTTGAAGAGGAGGAATTCCCTGGTTCAACTTACTTAGACTGTTGACGTGTTGATACAGAAGCTTGTGGTTTGATGCCATACACACTGCTAACTTCTGCTGGTAAGCCATTCTATCCTCGCAATAAAGCTGAGTATAGTGGTTACGTTGGGTCGGATAGACTATCCAGTTCGGCGCCCGGGGAAAGTTTGTAGATATGCCAGGCTGAGTATCGCATCGCTGTATACATGTGTGTGCTGTTTCGGAGAAACGAGACCACGTTTCTCGGACGAAAGGTCTTGGTCGCTGATGCTCCGAAAACCAGAGAGTTAAACTGGCTGTTGAAATGTTCCCGTGCGTTAGCCGGTGTCTCGTCTGCCAGAAAGGTCCAGCTGGCTGTCTCACCTACTGGAGCTAAAATGTTGTAGCGTGCAATCGTTTTTGTTGCGTCGGCAATTTCCACGGGATATTCTGCATAGCGGAAGTATTCTAAGAGTAGGACTACATGATCGCTGCGGCCCACCATTAGTTCTTATTAATATCCGGTCCAATATTGACGGCTTATCTTTTCTTCACAATCGGGTGGGAGTAATGATGTGGCCATACAGTGCGTAACTAAAGGTAAAAGCTTGTAGATAGGCATTAAACTGTTCTCAGGAAACTGCTTGGGATTCTAGAGCGTGGATGTTGAAATCGCCGATAATGAGGTGGCTGTAAGTTGTGTTTATCACCCTTCTTATTGCAGATGCCAGATAGAAGTGCACCTCTGGCGTGGAGGAAGGAGGGCGGTAAGTGACCGCCAGTAAGCAAGTGTCGTCGCCTTTTAAACGTAGACGGCACCAAAGGGAGTCGTGTACCGTGCTGACCGGATCCTCGATGAGGTCGTTACGGAGGTACAGAGCCACCCATCCACCTTTGCTGGTCGGTTGTGCTGAACAACGGACATGTCTGGCAGTGCGAGCTCCATGTCACTTATGTCAGGACGTAAGCACGTCTCCGGTATGGCGATGAGGTTGCAGGCTTTTGATGCTTGAGTTAGCCGTATATTAGAAAGTTTACTCAGTAAGCCCTGAGCAATGGTATAAATACAGGGAATCTTCTTGGATACAAAAGCTATTGATTAGGAGCATATGAATGAGGTGGATTTGTGCTGACCGACGCCTGTTCGTTTCTTTTTGGTGAATTGCCAAGTCTCGATAGAAATGGACTCTGTTTTTGGTTTCACTTGCACCTGCGATCTGTAGTCCATCAGGAGCTTTCTCGATAGCTACGGGTCTTAGCGCACTGGTTTCTGAATCCCAGTTGTGGTTATACTGAGTCGCGGGTGTTGTTTCCTCGAGAACAGCGAGTGGCTGCGACTCTCTAGCTGCTGTCTTCAGTCGTAGTTCAGAAGGAAGTTTCTTGCGTCGTATCTGCGAGCTATGGATAAGAAAACAGTCAGGGACCGTGATCCTTTAGACATGGTATGATAATCGGTTATTTATATAGTCGGGACTAGTTGCCCATTCCGTTCCAAAAATGCGGGCTACAATCAAAGCTAATCCAAAACAACATGTATGGCTTCAGCATCACAAGCGAAGTAAAGCTATTCAACAAATGCAGGTGGTATCGCGGACGTGCTTTCTGACGGCTGAATCAGTTCAATTCAGTCTACTGCCTTTGATCACTGAACTGAAAGAAAGAAACGCATAAGCAGTACGCCGGTATGCAGCACCGACGCCACTCTGCCGCGTAAACACCACCAGTCGCACGTGGGCTAAGGATACTGCAAGGGTCGCCTAGTCCCTACGCAAGCGCGAACCAGCACCCTCGAATTACAAGGCAGGCTTGTGATCCTTAAGGCACGGGCCGGCATACAGGTTCCTTCACAAAAAATAATAGGGATAATTAAAAATGGATAAACAAGAATTTAAATCATAAAATGGAACGAAACGAATGCAAGTTCGCCTCTGACTCGGTGACACAACCATAACCGCGATAAGGTGGTGCTCAACACCACGGATGTGGCCGGCCTTCAAAGACCCCATACGGGGAGGCAACAACCACCCAGAAGCATAAGGCTTTCGACAAGTTACTTCATGTGCTGTTAAGAAGGCGTTGTCTGGCCACAGTATACACCGAACTGGGTGCTGAGGAACGAACAATACACCCGGGGAAAGGGGCCGGATGACACGCGGAACATGTGACCAGAACCCAGAAAGTGATTTCAGTTCAACAGACATGCCTTAATCGAGGTGCTTGCGAATGAGCAAGCCGTTCGTCTTTTCTATTTGCTGTTTCGATGACTGATTCGTGCTTCAGGTAGGTGGTAATTGCATTCGGATGTTGCCAATAACACCAGGGTCCACCATCCGGGCCCTCCCACTTGGTGCCTAGGGACCAATGAAAATTCAGTTATGACTGTACGCGATCCCACCACAGCATGACAGTTGGATGATGCACCTGTATCTTTTGACGTGTCCACTTTTTGGGGACGTAATAATTATTAACAACTTGCGTATCTGGTGTTATTTCAAGTGCAACTCGCTTCTTCCGAATTGCGGTGCGCACGGTGAAGGAAAGTAAAAAAGAATGGTCTGATGGACAAGCGTTCGCACAAGTCCACCTGATCGTTTATGAGGACAAAAACAGTAACACAAGACTGAAAGTGAGGTATCACGGGCTGTCCACTGGCACAGTCCACACAAACAGCAGCTAAATGAATGGGTTGAGCTAACCGTAAAAATGCAGAGACCGTCGAGGTTTACAAATAAGAAAATAAATGCAAGGAACCTAAAACGTAGGATAAACAGAAGAATCAGTCAATTATCCATGCAACCAACATATAGACCCACGCAGAAAAAGCGACAAAGTGACAATCAGACGAGAAAATACTCTATGTGAGCCGACGCCTAGCCCAGCCCATATAGAAAATGTAGGTAGAACGATGACGCGCAAGATAGTAACCATCTTTTATGTGTAAAGGTGAGCACAAAACTCATCGCCTTTACTGGATCAATGAGAGTTGATCTGTAAAGATGGTGCTCCAATGGTTAAACCAGTCATCAGGAGTGGTTCATATACGTTGCTGCTGCAGAGAGCACACAGCAAGCGAAACTCAATGAGGTGCACGTTTCAGTCACGTGTGACTGAATTAAAGCACCGGTTGAAAATGGAAACGGGTTTCAGGTGCAGTGCTTTTCAACGCGAGCTCATCCACTTGATCAAATTGGTGGATTGAACATGCTGGAGCAAGAGCGTTGCAAGAGCGTATGCACAGCTTTCAACACAGTCCAACCGGGCTGAGCCATTCCAGTTCGTCCCGGTGTTTCCTTTGGAATGGAGTGCAGCCCAATGTGCTGTCGGGAAGATTCGTACCGGTGACAGCAAACGACGGTACAAAAGCTATCGGACTCATCTTTAACAGTCACTTTGGGTTATAACGCTTGATTTGAGACCATGCTTTCTTATGCGCATCCAGAGAGAGCTGGAAAGTAATAGGAACCACTGATGAGTGCCAAAGTAAATGATGGTGGTTCACAGCATTTGTAAGCTGAGAAAAGTTTTTAGAAAACAGTACAATCTGCTAGCAGAGATTACGACAGACTGAGATCACGAGAACGAGAGGAACAGAATTATGTTGGTGGATGGACATGTAAGGAAATCGTGAGGACTGTCAAAAAGAACACCATGTTAGTGTTACGCAGTAGAGCATCACTTAAGATTTAAATCCAAACCCCATCGTGGTGTAATGATTTGCACGCATCAACAAGCAATTGTGCTTTGAAATAAATGAGAATATCCGTAGCTCGGGGTGTGGATGTGGATTTTGAGCGGTTTTCCGAGCTGAGTGATTATTGTGCAGACGTTTCGTTGCCTGATTAGGCAACATCATCAGTGTGGCTTCAGGGTGCAATTGTGCTTTGCTGGGTGGCATTTGTTGTACCAAAAAAGCCACTCTTGCCAGATTATTCAAGAGAAAGGGGTCAAACAAACTCAATCTCCTGGCCCTTCACGTTGGGATTTAGAGTGAGAGTGGCTCCACACTTTATAAAACAGGCTCTCTGTAGCCCATTGTCAAAACCCCGCTGCCTTACGGTCAGGATTTGAAGTGAAAGCGTTAGTTGAGAATCCTAGTCGTTTTCCTGTCTAGGCTTCGGCAACCTGACAGTAGGTTGCCTACACAACACAGCAAACTGCTTTTCAAACAATTCCTTGATACTCTAGCCGCCGCAGAGGTTCATCAACGGCGCCCCATCTGCAGCTGAATAAGGGTAGGAATGATACTACTCAGACCATCACATCTTTTAATCTCCACCTTGCTCTTTCACACCATTACAATCCCTCGTTAACTGCACTTTTAACACCTCTGTTCTCACCCCGCAACTCTTGACATCGTTCAGCCCAGATAGACATGTCTTCTAGCTTCAACCCACACGCAATCGCAGGGTGTCGCTGCAGTCTAATAGACAAGTCCCAGTTCAGCCACGAAAACTAGGTCAGCCCATCCATTCCTATTTGGAGCCCTCGATCCTCCCTAAAACCGGCATGCTTCAAGATGCACACCTTGCTAAAGATCGACCAACAGGCAGCAATTACCCGAACACTATAGATCTTTCCGACACACGTATGTAGTTTTTTGGAAACTCTCATACTCTGTGCTTACTTTGCAAGTCCATACATGCAACACCGGGAGCACATTCTCATTGCGTTTGCCAGGTTATGACGCAGCTTCAAATGTTGGTCAAGCCAGCGTGGACATTGCTCTGAGCCACTGGGCTGAAGATGCCCTGGTCGATTGGACCCCGATCTGCAGCCGGATGTGTGCCGTCAGATTGGGCAGCTCGTTCAAAGCATCGAAGTCACGCGAAGATAAACGGTGCCTACGCGCCCACAAAGTGCAGCCCTGACTCGGCGAAGGATGAGTTATATCACCAATTGAACGGGGTCCTCCTTCTCAGAAAGAGAATGGAGCCTGTGGTGCTTCCTTTGCGGCACAGTAACTGATGTGTTTCCCACCTCTAGCTAACGTGTATGATGATGATGGTGCTTACTGGTGATCGGAACGCCAAAGTTGGAAAAGTGTCCACTGGTTACTTGCATCTGAAAGACCAACACGATGTAGGCTTAAGTAGTTTAAACGCTGAGCGGTTCCTACATCTATGTGAAAATGCTCGTCTCTTTGTTGCGAGCAAGAACTTCCGGCACAGCTCCCGTAGATTGGTGAAATGGCGCCTACCAGCGTCGGAGCAGCAATGGACGTAAATCGATCATATCACGATCAGTTACCGCTGGATAGGATATGCCTAAAACAGTCGCTCCGGTATGGATTTCGAACACGCACTTTCATGCGCCGACCTGCGGGTGCGTTACAGTGGACGTCCGCAACGACGCTGTGTGTGCACAGATATTTGCCAAATGGAGAAGCAACATGTTCAAAATATGCATCAAAGTACGCTTGCACGCGAGCACTGGACACAGTTGAAGACATTATTAAATGCAGCCATGTCCTCACGTCACCAATCGAATTACCAACTTGAACATCCGATCTCCATGTAGTCTCTGGAACTTTTAGATACTCTCCGGAACATTGTGGATGAGGGTGAACAAAAGGAGACTCGCAGAAACACCGGGACGAAACTGCGTGCTAGCCTAAAGAGAGATCGCGAATTCTGGTGATCTCATTTCGTCTAGATGAAGACAGCCGATGTCCTTGGTAACCATCAAGTGTTATTCCCTCTGATTCAAGAAACGGGCAACAGGAAACGTAGTGTTAGCGTGACATACGCGACGAGAATGGAAAGTCAAACCACAGCTTGTCAAAACGCTTGGAGCGTTGGGCCGAACACTTTCAAGAGCAGTTCAAAGAATTAAGTACCAGCTTCCTTATCGGTCACTGATCGCCCATCTACCTTGCACCCGCCCTCAAGCGCAGAGGTCGAACGTGAAATCAGACAGCAGAAATTAATAATTCGGGGGACCTGTTCTGATGGATAATATGCATAACTCAGTGGTGAAGTTGTGGGAGTAGGAGGATGGTCTAACAGAATGGTGCCACTCCGTCCCAATTTGCAAAGGTGGATCACGTTTGAAATGAAACAACCACAGAGGAAGCAGTCGGATCACAATTGCGCGCAATCCAGCGCGCTGCACCTCACTGCACTGACGATGCTACCTCGCATGGTGGTGAAACGTTTGCAACCAAACTGCCAAGCTCGGAGGACAAATGAACAACTGAAATGTAGCACAGTAGGCAACAAAGAATACTAGGCCTAGATATGCAAGCGCTGGCCAAATCCGCATAATCCTTGCGGATTAAGCAGTTATTTTGGGAAGTAAACGAGCGAACGTAACGGTGGTTCTACGCTAGTTGAGTCTGGAGGAAAGAGGAGGATCGTGCACAAATCGACCAACCTAGCTAACATGTCTATACACTATCTACTCCTGATTGAGGAAGACGTCGAGCAGGTTGACCACCAGTTCAAACGAAGTCAAGGGGTCTAATAACCTCACTATCTGTACCTGAACTAAGATGGAGAGACGGAGGAAGAGACGGAGATAGATAAAACGGGACCAAATTTGATACCAACATATCCCAATGGACAGAGTCTATCGAAACGAATACACCGAGGGACTTATGGGGCACCGTTTTCTAAACTAAATGGATTTTAAACAGCCTCGGAAGAATATAAAACAGTATATTATAAGACTAACCTTGGCGATTCGCAATTTTCGATTGTGCACGACAAGTTTTTTGGTTAGTTCTTCATTTTGCTTGACGCAGTGAATGAAATCAGAGACGGTGGGGACGCGGAACGTTTCCATGTTTGCTCGCAAGCAATGCTTCTCATGCCATTCCTCGAGGTGCAACTGCAAAGTACAATAATATATTAGAAATAAAAGACAAATTTAAAAAAGTTAATTCACCTGACTAGATGACTTGTGTCGGACCACTAGAGTAGACCAGACTCCGGTAAGGAAAAATAACAAGGCGAGTAAGCGGCAAGCTGGAGTCGTGAGCCCTACAGTGACTGAACTTGCACTGAAACGGACCGCTCTAATTATAGCTCGGTTGATCATGGATGTCCACCTCAGACCAACACTAGTCAGTTGATCGATGCCCTTCCGGTCTGTTTCGACTTGACCATTATCGCATTAGCCTAAGTTTGTTCTGAGCTTTTGGACAGATGATAATTTTGACCACGGGCCGACAGATTCGTTGATTTGCACTCGAAAAAACGCACATTTCAAGCAATGACCTGTTGTTACGTACTACCAGTGACCATGGTTGATTATCACAGACGTAAAGGAATTCATGCGACTGCAGATTCAATCGCTGAGATAAGCTAAATGCTGGAAAGTGATTACGATCCCGAAAAGATAATCAAAAACCAGTAAGATGAAAATACAGCGAAACACGATCATAGTATTGTGCAAGACTTGAATAAATCGGGCAGATCGACGTGCACAATGTCTCTACATCATTAAAAAAACCGAATGATTCTACCGGCGGTAACCTTAGATAAAGACCTACGGAAGGAAATAAATGTGGTTGAAGGCATTACTCTTCCGTCACATACAAGAAGCCTTGTTCGGTCTTGCCCCGTGATGCCTGTGAAAAATGGACGAAAGCTACGCTTGCCAAATGACCGTCATGCACACAGAAAGGGGAAACGGGAGTCCGGATGGACCAAATCTCCGATAAAACGGTAGCTCTGTAATGACCTTCAACGTAAACACACAAAAAATTCCCGTGAGAACTCGTCAAGGAGAGTGAAAGCAAATAAACGGAGGATAGAGGGATCTCGAATATGGTGGTGATTGATAACCTGTAACAGTAAGGATGAAGTACTCATTTATGACAGCAAAAGCCATCGGAAAACAAAAAGAGACAATTTGCCAATACTATGATAACAGGGGTTTGAAGAGCTCCAAGTAGCTTTGCTACAGTCAAACTAGGGCATGCAGCAAGCAAAGGTCGACAAGAGCTAGAGAGCAAATGTAACACGAAAGCGTTTGAATCGCATCAAATCTCCTAACTAAATAGTGAACATCAGTTCTTAATGTAATGTTCTTAATGTAATGTAATTGGCGGTTTAGGGAAGAAGTCGTGCTCCTGGGGTCAACCCTGTTTTCTGCATAGCAGCGGAGGATGAGACGCGCCGGGACACATCACATGATTATTGGTCTGATATGATATGACTTTAGAGCATCACATGACTGCCGTACTATGTGAAAATTACAGGTGGCACCGTCCAAGTCAATGTTCGCAGGGTCCCAGTGACGGTAAGGACTAGGTTGTGACCACGAACAGCGGACACTAGGTTGACGATAATAACAGGATTTAATAAGAACCAAAAACGCAACGGTTAAAATCTATGTAACCGTTTTCGTCGCAATCGCTGATACGCGTCAAATGGGTATAATTGAGAAATTAATCGAGTTTTTAATAGTGCGGTGGTCACATAGGTGACCCAACGATGCTCATGGTGGGGTTCCGGTGGAAGATCCGACTGACTAGGTGAATCAATACGAAAAGCCATATTAACAGATAACTGCGCATAATTCGATACATTATTCAAAATATGAAGTTTGTGAGGCTCTACCGAATGCAATGGAGTATCCGTAAGTAGTTCATATAATTGGGGCATACGAAGCCCAGGTGGAAAAAGCACCATTATGCATTAGGGTCGAACATCGATTGGGAAAACTTTAGAAGTAAAGCTTGACTAGCGTCCACACCATAACGGCGAAGGAAGTGTTAAACGAAACGAATCAGAGAATAAATGCAAGGTCAACCTGCTATTACTATGGGACCAGTTCAGTTGGAAAACGATGATCGGAACAACGAAATACGGTGGATCCAGTTGCCAGGACTCACATCGCAAGAACAACAACAAATAACAACGTCGCGATAGTAGGGCTAAAGGCAAACAGAATTTAAAGAATACGGAATCGATAAAGGAATGCGTGAAACCAGTCGGCACGAAATGAAAAACAACAGCCAGTTGCAAGAAACTGAATGCAAAAACGCCAGTGGCTGCACGACTTTGCATTGTCCCACAGTCTCCAAACAGTGGTGTGGACCATCCAGCGGAGACCATCCACGAAGACGGCAAGCACCAGTCTCTCAGTCAAAATCTTCATGCCACTACGCCACTTCAAGAACTGGCCACATCACGGTTTCACCCAACTTGATGCAGCGACCGAAAAAGCCGGTCAACAGGCATACGGAAGACATGACCCAGAAAACGTAGGCAATTAAGCGCTAGTAAACACTGAAGTAAGGCACCAAAAACATGCAGACCTGAGCATCGCTCACCCATCGGGAGTTCTTGAATGTTCTGTCAGACACAAGAATTCGATATCATGACGTTTTCAATGTCGCAGAGCAAATCTAACATCAAATAACTAGGGAAAAAGTGGTCCTCGTCCTTACTTGGAATGCAACAAAAATAAGCACAACGAATTACACAATTCGGAAGAGCATTGGCAAGTATTCAGTTGCCTTTTATGAAGTAGCAGCTTTGGAGAAAGAAAACAAAGGGTTTATGCTGATGCAAAATCCGTACAGACCGTAACCTTAATCGTAGCTTGACCTACTCCGAACACTGTAGAGTGTAGTCTACCGGATGTTCCGCATCCATAATCGGATGAGTAAAGTTCAGTTTGACAAAAACAGAAAGAAGCATGGTTTGTCAAATACCCTGTGACGTTTCTACCAACGAGACGACAAATATGACTCTGGTGGCGGTCGCAAAGGGTTTCTTTCAATTCCTAGACTTTTATCACTTACTTGGAGTACACCCACTCTTGAAGGTTGGTGCAGTACTCCACAGTAACTGATAGTGACACCTTTCACCATCACAATTGATATCAGGCTAGAAAACGGTGCGTCAAGTAGAAACTGCTGGGCTACCTACTTTAATTTCGGGCGTTTATGACCGCTGGACATCCCACCAGCAGCCCAACGGCGCTAACCACACTGCAACTCTATAAATTACTATAAATTCTCTTTCGTTTCCATGATTTCCAAAGCGTCCTATTCTGTATAGCCTGTTCGGTAACCACAAATAAACGTAATCCATACAGACTTCGGACATAATGCAGATCTGGCGGACGAGCTTCGATCGTCTCTTGAACAACCGTTCAGAGAATGAGTAGGCTACGTTGCACAAGCTGCAACGACACAAAATAAAAATGTCTTGTGGATGCACTGACGATGAATGGGAGCAGAGGACATTTGCTCAGCTCTGAAAAGGCTCGTGTGTCGTAGTTGACGGGATACCACCAGAAGTATTGAAACACGGCGGTCCCGCGTTGATACATGCGCTGCACAATTTGGTGCAACGCGTGTGGCTTGAAGGACGTGCACCAGCTGAGTTGAAAGATGCTCTTGTGTTACCACTGTACAAGGGTAAAGGCAGCAAGCAGTGTCACGAATTAGAGTGGTAACAACTTGCAGAGTTGTGCGGGGAAGGTGATCGTAAGGATGCTGCTCAACTGCCTCGTCCCTCCGGTTGTTGAACCTCACGTGGCGGAAGAACAATGCACATTCCGCTAGGGAAGCAGCACCATAGACATATTGACATCAGCCATTGTACTCGCTGTTTGTTGACTTCACCAAGACATTTGACACCGGGAACTGTGACGCACTGTGGTTGGTGTCAGTTTGGTTGTTTGAATAAATTTATATGTCAAATTGAACGTCTGCACAGTGGTATGCGGGTGAGGGTGCAGCTCTGTGGACCGACATCGGATAACTTTAATGATGACAAAGCCACTGTCGTGTTTAACATTTACCTAAATGCAATGATGTCACGCGCCTATGATGTTGTTTGTGGTTATGGTGGCTGTGGGGAGCAGCGTACTAATTGTGGGCTGCTAAACATCCATCATTTCGGGGCGAGAAGCTTAGTGTGGGAGACAAGCAATCGTATGCGGCTGTTTGCTGACGACTGTGCGTATTTTGTGCACAGCGCGGATAAGTTGCGGCGCATGATGACGGCTCGCGCTTTGACAGTAACCAAATTCGATATCACACAAGCCTACATTACAAATCCACATCGATGGTGACGTTTTGGAAGAAACCTCTAGATTTTGCTACCTTGTGAGTGTAATAACTCAGGAGTAGTGTAATAACTATCGGCTTGCAGATAGTGAACGAGTTGCGCATCGGATATCGAAAGCGACTGCTACATAATAAAAGCCGGAAAGCAAGTACTAACTGACATTTGGGACGTAGCTGACGGCATACAAATCGGTGGTGCAGTCCATTCTTCTATACAGGAGTGAAGCCTCACGTTTTAGCTAAAGGACGTATGAAATTTGGATCGATTTCAAAAACAGTGTCTGCGTCGTATTCTGCGCAACTGCTCGGGTGATGAAGTACCCGACAATGTGCTCCGAAGCAGTGGCATATCTGTAGTGGACTGCATACTTCCGCTGCGGCACCTGAAACACTTCTGGTATGTGCACTGCATGGAAATGACCCAGATGCGGAAACAGTTGCTTTATGGCCAACTGTGTTGTTGCCATCCTACCTATACTTCGAGTGGTTAGGAAGAAAGGATCTCACTGTTCAGTCAGTGGTTAGGGCTACGAGAATTTGGCAACCAGTGAATTCTAGTATATCAAGAGTGAATTTGTGTAAAATTTCCAACAGTTACCTAGAACCTCAGGATGTGCAGCGACCCTCTTAGTGCCGATGCGAGTCATACTCGAAATTCAATCCAAACGCCTCAGCACAATTTCATCAAAGCACTGTGATCATACCTAATGGCATACGCACTTCTATTGTAGCCAAATGTCATACTAAGATGGATTAAGCTATTGGTCACCGTACATAGCGATAACAAGCAATGTACCACTTCTACACACAGACATGATGACTTTAGCTAGTGGTGATGACCAAAGGAAACGGTCCCTCTTGTACTAATGAAGGACCGTGGGGTTCGTAATATAAAGATTTACCATTAGAAATTCTCCAGATACCATACAAAAATGGTTTAGTCTACTACCATCAGGTCAAGGAATATTAACCTAGAAGGCGCACATGTTGTAAACCGGATGATCAATAATGGCGCGCAGTAATTGAGTACGGTGGCTAACTACTATGCCAGAAGAATAATCTTCTAAAATTCTTTCGTGCCGATCGCTGTTGCTGAGATCCTGTTAACCAGGAACATGAACAAGCAGCAACAATCGTATAATGTCGTCGGGAAGCAGACGACAATATGCAAGAGATGATCTTGATTTAGACCAAGGTATTCCTCCGATTTCTTTCCAAAACGATGCCTAGTTAATGGAGCTTGTGGAAAACCTCGGATGTGTGGACGGATCTCGAACAAACCAGGTCGTCAAAAAGCTACATAGTACCGAACTTACATCAGAATAGGCTCTTATCCGATGTTCCACTCTTTTGACCATCGAAAGAACCCGTTCAGTAGCTTTAACGAGCCTCTGTTTTTCTACAAGCGCCTTATCCAATTGAACCTGAAAGGAAAAAGACGGACGGAGGCAACAGCATTAGCATGGTGTTGAAGAAAGAGATGGGGAGGAATGGGATAAAAACCAAGCCTTTGCAAATCAAGAAAGACGCAGCGCTCCATGCCTTCGAGTTTAATCGCTAACATCTAAGTAGGAAGTAGCACTATCTCAGCAGATTAGTTCAGTTAGTCTATTTGTAAGCAAGCACCGAGAGAAGTTTTACGCAACCGCAGTGAATATGTGGGATGGAATTGATAAAACGATGCAATCGTTAACTCAACTAGGACCAGCAATTTGACTATTATCTGCGCGATTAGACGCAGCAGATAAAGCCACCAACACGTGCATAAGCAAAAAAGGCAAAAGGATAAAAGAGCATGATTCAATAGCAGTGGATAAAGAAAGAGCACCAGAATCCTGAAAAAGGGTATCAGGGGAACAAAGGGCCATCACAGTCAGTGTGACTGAAACAGGTGGAAAAGAGTAGCTAACCAATGATGTGGACAATTACGTGAAGCTTATTCGAAGAGATGACAAGTGCACATGACTAACTTTTCAGCGAAACCGTCAATTCCGTATGACGAAGATCAAACATTGAGATTTCATTTAATCAGAAACATTAGATAAAAACAACCCAGTATGCTGCAGGTGAAGAATGAGGAGTGCACGACTAGCCAAATAAGGCATACTGCATAGTAGTAGTAGTAGACAGTAGTTAGTTAGTTAGTTACTTAATTAGTTAGTTAGTTAGTAGTAGTAGTAGTAAGCACTCTAGCAAGTAGACATAGAGCCAAACATAACCATGACGAAAAGTAGACTGGTTGAACACAGTATCAGCATTACGGCACATTTGCTGAAGATGAGCAACACACTTCAGCTATTGGGCCACGATATAAAAAAACAACGGAGGATCTTTTTGTTACTTTGCACACGTCATTTTTAACTTTTTTCGTCGTTTTCAATCGTTAAGCGCTAAGTATCCAAAACTATGCAGTTATAGACACAGATCGTTCAGTGGTTTCGATTAAGAGCCATATCCTGAATTGCTACCAGCCATCGGCACTCCTCGTCATTCGGTCTCCAACCAGGACAGACGTGTGGATTCAATGGTGGCAAGACGTGAAGTCAAAGATTTCATTTGCTGTCGCCAAGCGGATGGTGGACCACCACGTAGTCTCTTCCAGTTGAGTCACGCACGAGCAAACAGCGCGCGAGGGGGCAGACGCTCACCTGACATACGCAAAACGAGACCGAGCCATCTTGACTAGCGTAACAAAACCAGCTTGTTGAGAGGATTACTCGCATTCCCTAAGACACGCCGTCTGACCACTGTTGCAAATGTGATGTTGCCATCACCCACAAGCAATCCACCTCAAGCACCCGTTGTCCAAGGCAGAGAGCCGGCGCATATTGTCTATGCGAACCGGCCAGGTCTCTGATTCATACAGTAACATCGGCTTAAGGGCAGCTATGTACACCCTACTAACCACTGACAGGCTGACCGTCACGTGAATGGACCTTAACGTGTTGCGACGGTTTGTGCACCTCGTTGACCCAGCAAGCTATACTGGATGGGGCACTTGGGCCATTTAAGACCTACACCTACCAGTTTGGTCAATGGTTAGAAGTCAGAGGAACTTAGTCTCCTGGTCCTCCAGACTGGGGGTCTGAAATGGAATGGCATGCATTTCGGTGAAGCCGAATCGTTGCCACCTCCACAGCTTTTCGGAAAGGTTTTTGAGCCAAAGTCTTTGGTTGAGGACCATAATCGTCTACTTGTCTAGGCTTGGGCGCCCAGGCGGTACCTCAGCCCACGTAAAACCATGACTACTTCTTCAAACATCAATTACACCCTGCATCGGACGCCGCGCAGAGTATCAACAGTTGCCTTCTCTGCTGCATACAGCAGAGTGTATAAGCGAATACACGTTACTACTGGAGCCTGTTTCTCTTACTCCTCTTCGACTCACATTAGTAGCCTTAATCCTATAATTCCCAGTATATTTGACAGCAACCGCAATGTTACTGGAGTCATCTCATCTGTAGCTATGATCCAGAACCACCCATGTCAAGCCAAGTCAAACTAGGTTTTACACATCTAAATGGGTGCATTATAAACATTTACACTATCACCGCGGATACAGTGAATGAATTGGACCAGTAAAAATATATAAACACAGATTAAAAAAATAAATACATAAAGGTATAGAAATGATATTTAAGGAGCCGCATACGTAAAGTATTCATGAGTTTCTTAAAGTCGACAAGGAAGCGTGACAAATAAGGCGAAGTTGCTTTAAGACAAAAAGAAGTGCGAGAGAATAAAATTCAAATTTTGAGCGCGTTTGTGAGACTGCGCTATGCAACCGATGATAGCGATCAGTTAGGACCTCAGAAAAGAAATTCCTGCAAGTGTCGAAACGCTTATGAGCAATAAAACGAACTAATACACCTAGAGACAAGCCACCACATCTGGAAATATATTTTACCGATCGTACAATCCAAATAAAATCATTTTGTAGGCGTCTAAGGGAAAATACTCGGGAAAAGTACAAAAAAGCGGTGGGATAGTATGAATCCAGATGTAAAAGTTAATTGAACTTTGCGGTAATCATTATGATCAACAACAGTAGTACACCAATCATTTGGTCTGATGCTCTACTGCCATACAACCATTATGACCTACGAAAAGAAGAATAAGAGGGAAAGAAGAAAAGACTTACCGAAAAAGTTGAATGCCCTAAGCAAACATGCAGAGTCAATGCATCTACACCTTGTCAGCAATATAGCATCACAAACAGCTGACTATCGTGCAAAGATAAGGCGGCGTCGGCAAGACAGCTCCCTTGCGGCTTTTACTGCCCCGCGTCGTATCCAGCCATTACCCCGCAGACAACTCAGCACCAAACACACCGTCGGACCAGAACGCGCACTGGTGCCAACTGCAAGCCATGTCCTGTAACGTCTCGAGCCAAGCACAAGGCGAGTCATAGGGACTTCAGCCCGGAAGGCAAGACGGACCGGCGGTACCAAGTTTGGTCATCAGTGACCTAATTTTCAGCTGCTGAGTACACGTTTCGCAACCTTTAGAATCGCGTTATCCTACATCCGGCAGAGAAGAAAACAGAACGCTAAGGTTAAGCTGTGAACGCGCACACTCAGTACGTGCCAAAGACAACCTACCTTAATCAGTGATATGTGCTGTTTTAAGGAACTAGCTTGATTATCACCGTCTAGTACTCGCATGAGCACATCATCGTTGCGGACACGCTGGTGTCATCCGACACCAGCAATGCTCCGCAGACAATGATGATCAAAGACTTGAAGGCGCCTCAGATCTTCAGACCGAAGGGGTCAAGTCTCACTACCATAAAGCTTCACAGTTCTCACTGTGGCCTTGGAAACACGGCCTTTCAGATGGAGGGAAACTCCCTTCTGCCGTCAAAGATATCGAAAGTTCAAGAAGACAGTACTGGCTTTTGCAATGCGTGAACTGACTTCAGTTACTAAGCGCCCGTCGTTGCTGATGCAGCTCCCAAGGTAAGTGATTCGATCAACTACCCTGAGTTCGTCGTTAGCAAGAGTCAGAAAGTCGTCAAGTGGCTGGTGGTCCTGTAGCAACACATTGCACTTTAAAGGCAAGAAGAGCAAACCAAATAAAGGGACCACTCGAGACAGGTTATTCAGGGTTGAACGTGCCGCCGCGATATCATCAGAAATCAAGACGAAATGGGCCGAATAAACTAAAGTTTTATCATGTAGGACCTCAACGCTTGCATCGTGAGGCTCCACAAGGGAACATTCCATGGCGGAGTCTACAACGAAATTGAACAAACGTGGGGAAATCGGATAACCCCGACGAACGCCACTTGTTGTCGGAAAGTTATCCGACAAGTCACCGTAAACCCCGACGCGGCCTGTAGTGTTCGAGTATAAAGCAGGCAAAATGTTCACCTAATTAACGCGAACGCCTTTTCGCGTAAGCATATCGAACAGAATTCATCGATCGACGAAATCGAATGCACTCTGGAAGTCGAGGAACAGCTACTGTCGGTCTGTGTTACGTGTGGCGCTGCTCTAGCACCTGCCGCAGTGTAAAGATATGGTCTATACAGCCACGTCCTGGGAGCATACCTGCCCAATCTCATCCAATCCGAGATTCTCGCTCCAAAGTGAGGCGACGAACCAAAATCGAGGCTACTAATCTTGTCACCACCGACATCATGCTAATACCCTTGTGGCTAACACAGCCAGTACGACTGCCCATCTTGTTCAATGTCACTATAATCGATTCACCCCTGTCAGCCGGGACGCTCTCTTCCTTCTATACTTGTTTGAACAGAGGTCAGTGCTTTGCAGAGGACCCCATCACCACCCTAAATTATTGTGCGAGTGCGCGCAAAAAGGATTAAAGGCTGTGATCGTGTTTCGGACCTCGGCCTCCGACTGAGTTTTTAAACTAATCGCGTATGGATCAATTTGGATCTATCGAGTAAGAAAAGGTTTGGAAGCAAGGGGGACAATTGGACTGCTGTCGAAAGTGTTCCGCCTAACGAGCCATACAGCGCGCTGACTCTGCCTTAATAGTGCCTGGTTTTCTGGGACCAGTGGTGCAGATTAGCTGGAAGAACTTGGGATAACTGCCTACTACCGTTTCCTCCACTTGTTGAGCTCAACTAGTCTACCAGGCAACCTTGACAGCATGCAAGCTTTGCTTTAGTTCACGAGTAACAGGATGTCTGGTCTCGTTGTGCTCAGAGTCAGCCGAGAGTTCTCTTTTGGATTCCAACAGGTTTACCCAATTCTCGGATATACAGTGACAGGTGCTGTGACAATTGATATTCAGGCAAGCAGAGGCTCCTGCATATTGCATGGGGCCGAGAACCTATTCCATTGAAGCTCAGTATCATTAGGACCTTGTTTTGCCTTCCAAATGTAGGATGGCGCAAGGCCCGAGTTAGGAAAAATTAACTTAGCAGCGGGAAATGAACTCACCGACGACCAAA